TGTAGTTCTTGTCCTTTATTTAATGGCCGTCCTGCGTCTCCTGCGCGGTTAGTTTGGGTGGGTGGCTGACTCAATGGTCTCACCAACTGCTGGCTGGCAATCAGCTTCTCAGTTGGTGATTTCTAGAATAAAACCCCAGCTAATACTTAATTGATAATCATGCAGCAGCCATTATTAAATAAATTTGCATGCTAATTTCCTCCTAGCACAGTGATCAGGCTCGAACCTACACTGAACCTGTGCATATAAGTTAAGCTTACTACCTACTGGACTACAAATTCATATGCTGGGAGCTAGATAAAGTTTGAAAATTCATTTTTACCCCCATAAATGTATCTTATCACAAAGAATTTCCATAGCTAAGTATGGCAGGATTTATGTGCCTGAAAAAACAAAAGTCAATATAATCTTCATAGAGAGTGTTTCTTTAGTGCCAAAAAATATTGATTTAAAGTTCAACTTAGTCACTGTTAAATCCATTGCCAGTCTTACCATTTTATGAGTTTCAATGAAGCCTTTCAGAAACTCCACCTTCTTGGTGTACTCATTCATTGCATCAGGACTTGGTTTGCTGTTAAATAAGATTAAATTTCAAGAGAATGGCAAAGCCACTAAACTGTTTAGAAAGAAGTATTAGTGAAAAGAACAAAAGGGGTAAATTTCTAAAGAAAATGTCAGTGGTGCTGCATGGGTGGGAGAGCACAACAGGGTAATTTAGTGTTATCAACTGAGTTGATAATGTAAATTGGCCACCATAAAGAGCTTTAAAGCTGATGTCTTGAGTGTCAGCCCTTTGTCTTTTGCTCTGATGAAGAGCCAATGCTTGAAACATCAGCTTTAAAACTCTATACAGTGGCCAATTTAAGTTGTCAACTCAGTTGATAATACTTAATTCCCCTGTTAGTGAAAAGACACTGGTTCTCTGATGGAAAGCACAAAGGATCAGAGGTTTGAAGCAACTTTCAAACATACAATCAGGGAGTTGCATGGTGAGAAATAGAGAGCATAAAGACAAGCTTTATCATTGAGCCCCCAGAGTTACTTAATATTAACATCTCCCACGTATTGTTCCACTGAATTACATCCCGTCAGCTGATGGGCACTGATACCAGATATAGTTGTTGTAATTCCATTTTTCATGTCTAATGTCTAAGTAGTTATGAAACAAGTTGAGTTTTTCCTGTTTTGTTTCTCAGACCTTTTGCAAAAAAAAAAAAAAAAAAAAAAAAAACTGAGGTAGAGATAAAGGACAACAGATATTCAGCCCCCCCCCCCAAAAAAGTTTTGAATCAAACTAAAATTTGAGCTTTAACATAGACATTCCAGTCTACAAGAGACCCTTTTCTTGATAAAAATCAAATTATATTTGGTTTATTTGCCAGGAGATGTGTAAAGGGGAATCCAGTTAGTATTTTGAAGTGTTTTTAAATACCCACTTGCTTGATTTCCGTAGTTCAGTGACTTGTCTCTGGAGGGTTGATACATACTGTGAACATAAACAGTAATTTTTTTTTAACCGTGAACATCAGTGTGCATATTCTCCATACAGTTCTCTACACTTTCCCTTTGGTATTGACAAGGAGACTTTGTTTTACAATCAAGAGCTCCTTTAGTTAACAACCAATTTTGATTTTCTCATAACCTACATATTTGATTCAGCAGTATTGCTGTGAGGAGAAATTACGTGCTGATCACTCTTGGGGGTTAAAAAGTTTAAAACGTACTAAGCTTGGCAAATTTGATTCCATTTTGATTTGAGTTGTTTGTCAATTCAGTCTTTTTTTGGTGCAATTTTCCCCTTCCACTGATTTCGTATGGCTGCGAAACCTCCTTTTGCTCCTCTTGTCACCACTGTATTGAATCATTAAAAGGTTTGATACTGGGATGTGAAAATTTGTTGGTTATTTGGTTTTGATCGATTTTTTTGGCAGTTTTCCGATTTTTAATGACTTTTTCTATGGTTTTGCAGTTTCTTGTAGACCCTAATACCTCCTTCCTATGTATATTATCTGGCAAGGCCCCTTACGTTTATATTTCTAGTAATTTCATGAGCAATGAATGATAAAAAAAATGATGTTGCAGTAGGTAGTTTCCAGGTTTTATTAATATGTTGCACCAATAAGGTTATCACTTGTTTTTATAACTTTTATTGACTGAAATCAATGAATGGTTTCTATATATTTTTTTCTATCGCCTTAGGTCAAGCATTTCTCTTGTTTATTTCATTCAAAAGGAGGAAATTTCTCAAAGCGCTGAAAGCAAACTGTTTCCCTGTCTGTGGGAAAAGCCACTCACGATGAACCAGTAAACACGGTACAAATTGTATAAAATCAATCACTGTGATGTAAAAGATCATGATGTACGTGAAGTCGTTAACAATAATGTTTTGGAATAGAAACGTTTTCAGTGAGGTGAATTAACATTAGTGATGTAATCTTACCCGATCTAGTCTCCAGTTTACGTTCTCTTTGTTTTCTTGAGTCTCCTCCGCCATAGCTTCACATCGTTCTAAAAGTCGCCGAAAATTTATTTCCAGTTTCGAGGCCGCCATGTTGGCAACTTTAAATTTACATGGGTATAAGCTTACTTGTAGTGTATCACATAGAATTGTGGTGCATCGTGTAGGCTCACAGCTTAGCTGAGCACCGGAAGATTGCTGACTGTTTCTCGGCCAGCCCCTTTCCTATAATGACGAACTCAGTAGAGGTGTGAAAAATGGTATGTTTGGTATAAAATTAAGGGTCAGGATTTGAAGCACGGATAGCACACCTCTACCCCCCTCCCCTGGGGCTGTACTCGATTGTGGATATGGCAGGCCTATTGCGAAGTCACGGACTCCTGATATAAGAAATGTGTTTAACATTTGGACACCAACATCATTCCGTTTTCAGGAAATACGTCATATGAAAGGGTGGTTACAGCCCAATGCCTCATCTTTCGCAGTTTTGATTGTTACGTGGTTACAACTTCCTCAACTCATCGCAAGGCAAGGCAAAGAGTAACAAGCCTCTATAATTACTGAGTTTTTCTCACCCCCAGAATTCTTATAATTCGAAACGAAAATCACTGATACCCTGAATTCCGCTCAGTTTTCTCTCAATGCCATGTGTTTAACTTTGCTAAGACGTAGGGATTAATTGGAATCATGCGGAATTTTTAAGTATTCTCGTCCGTGTGCGGCGCTCGATCAATTATCACGTATTGCGCGACATCTCTCGAGAGCGTGACAACCATACCATCTTAACTTAAAATTTACATTCAGATTAGATCTCTTTTAGCTTGCCCTTGGGAAAATCTTACTTTGCTCGAGGCAGTTTCTTAAAATGACCACATACTTTAAATATACAGATAGGGGCATGCCTTAGCATGTATTCCGGTGAATAAATATTCGGATGTCTCAGAGGTAGTTTGTGACGTGTATTTCGGTTACGTCAATCAGAGAAATTATGAAACAATGTTTTTATATGAATCGATCTCCAAGTATTGTGCGGGTAGAAGAGAACTGTGTCTGTACTTGTCAGTTCCGTTTTTTCACGCCCGTTCTTTTAAAGAGACCTGTGTTTTCAGAAAGGTTTTAGATCCGTCGCAACCAGGAGCAATTCGCTGTACTTATCCTGTTTACGTACTTGTGAAATTCTGAGGACTTCAGCATTACTCGAGAAATCAAGGCGAGTATACTTGGTCTTAATAGCAAAGCTGGTTACACCGAATGCAGTCAAAATGTGTATTTGGTTATATTTTGGCTATGATATTGTCGAAAATATCTATAAATATTTCCCTATGCCAAGGGCCGATCGATGCGTTATGCGTGCAAATATGATAACAGTTAAAAAATTGTATCTATCATTCCACAGGCAAAAAATGGCTTCCGTTCCGATAAGTTCAGCGTATGTGAAGCAGTTGGAGAGAAATTCCATGTCGGAAACGAAAGCACAAAGTAATGGTACTGAACTGGCAAAATATGAGAAGAATCAGGATATTGCACAAGAAAGAAGGCCTTTTTCTAGTTGCATCTGTAATGTGCAAACGATGTTACAATCTTCCCTCCAGAGTCTGCCATTTTTCTCATCAGCGCCAAGTGAACAACGGTTTAAAGAGTGCGTGGATCGTCCCTAAGCACGGATTTGCAAGATACGCTAAATTTTATCTGAGTGGAAGTGATTACGAAGCATTTTAACAGGGAAGAAACACCTTTTTCATTTTCGGTCTCCTTGACTATCGAATCCTTTCAAAATATACGTGACCTCTTTCATGTATGTGTCAATTGCGCGAAGCGCTGAAAAGCCTGACTAAACAAAGTGGCACGTGAACCTAAATAACAGCCAATCTTTGATCTTCTCATATGAGGAAGTCGAGATCGGGGTAGACGTCACGCCAATGAGATGCTCCCTTGTAATCAAAGGTTCAAAATCACAACATGTGTTCAGGATTCACGTGTAACAATTTGACATGTTTTATCTCGGAAATCAGTTTGAGGAAAGACTGAATAAATCGCGGTTATCATGAATTCTCCAGTGGACATCCTGGAAGCCAATTTCTGCATTTTGCACTCGGTTCAAGCAGACGCTAGAATTAGAAGAATCATCTCAATATCCCAGCGTGTGGGAGGAAACATAAGTTGCTCGTTGCGTAAACAGCAACGGAAATCCTATATAATGCCTGTCTTGCAAGTAAGCGTAGCAAAGAACTGTATGCATTATGAATTATGAAGTTAGACGGCATTTTGCCGAAAACATTCATCCTGGCGATGATTAACAATAAAATAATTTTATAGTCGTTTTTCTTACGTTGTATTTGGTTACAGTAAATAGTGACAGGATTATGGTGTTTGTATTGTATTTCTAGTCAACCCTGTCGTTGTGGTCGAAAAAAAAATTAGATCAATATCCCGTAATGCAGACTTAACAAACAAACGTAATTGTTTCTCAAATCAAGCGAGAACAATATCTATTTTTCATGACTATTGCATGACGGATCTGGGTGCTGCTCCGAGACAAAGGCTGTCTGTCATTAGGACATTTCAGAGGACGAGAACGATCTCTGTTCCCGTCGCTTTCATTAAGTGCATGCGATTGATGGAACAAGTGTTGTCAAATTGATTTCGGAAAACGTTGACGTTTCCAGCCAGTTTTTTCCTGACGCTAATTTCTAATTTCCAAAGACGATTGTCGGTTCCAAATCGAACAAAAATTCAGGAGTTGCTCTGCAAAAAGGTCAGGTAAGAAGCAAAGTAAAATGTACTCTTTACCTTAGTTGACCCTCTGCCTCAACCGATAGGCTCTTGTAGCGTCAGGTCTTTTATTTAGATTATTTCTTTTACAAGGAAAAGAATGGCATCTGTGCCAATTAGTGTCGCTTATGTGAATCATCTTCATACGGATACTTCGCCTGGTGAAAAGACGCAAGTCACCAATTTTACGGAAGTCACTGGAAGGGACAACATTCAACTTGAAACACAGCGAAGATGGCCTTTCCATATAAAAGCTCAAACGCAGTCACAAACACCACAGTCTTCGCCCCAGAAGTCATCCCGTCTCATTTCGAAGTGAACTAAATCACAAATTACGCTTGCCTAGATGATGGATCATCACGGTGTAACATAATCCTGAGTTTAAAGTTCTGGAAAGCGGTTTGTCGTGGATGTGTGTGCAAAGCTTAAACATAGACCTGAAAAATTAGGCTAGAAATTTGACTTGTTAGTCAGACACGAAAATTCATCCGAGGTTTTGAGTACGTGATCACTTGTGTTTAATCTCGATTGCGTAACAAATTTACCTGCAAAAGAGACGTGATAACGTACATGTTCCTTAAGTTCGTCACGCGATCTGGCCGTTGAGTGACGAACCAACTAGAAACTGTTCACGGCGGCAACGTCCATGTTCGCCAACTGAGATGACAAAGATAATTCAAAATTGCCCTTTCTTTGGGTGAATCACGAATTTTAAAAAAGGAAAGTTTCCGTCACACGATCGAATATCCCGAGCGAATGACACTTTATAAATTGTTAGTAAAAATTATCATTTAATCCCTGAGGATATTTTACAAGAGGGTGTTGTGACAACTTCAACTGAAGCATAACAAAATGAAATTCCTTCTTATTCTTTATTATCTCATCCCTTTGGTCAAAACACTTTGCCAAGTTGCTCCTTTGGTCAAATGCCTTTAATAGGATAATTCTCCCTTTTTTCCTAAACCATCCAATCATTAGATATAGACAAAAAGAATCATACTGAATTTTCTTTTTAAGCTTTCAGATCTGAAATCAGACTTCACACTGACTTTGGCTTCTCTTAATTTAACTTTGAGGAAACCGGTCCTGAGAAATAATTCTATATGCTTTCTTTAACTTTTATGTGCCAAAAAGTGCTCCCTGTTTTTCCTCTTTTGATTAAAACTATACGCGAAGGAAAGTGTAAAAAAAGTTTAAAAGGAGAAAAATATGTACGGTTAAGGACTTGAGGATCGATTTGTTCTGGTCGCTGATAGTTTGCCCAAGGTATGCGCAACCTACTGATACTGATGTGGTTGTTACTGATTGAAGAGCAAACGCCTAGATGACTTCACCATTCACAACATTTTGATCTTTCATCACATACAAGTCGATTTCATGTTGCCGCGCGACCGTTCAAAAAAAAAAATCACAGAAATGCTGTAAAAACGCGGTACGAACAAAAAAAGTAGCATGACATCCCCAATGGTGAGCTTAAGTACACGCATAGACAACATAATGGTCAGACTGATGGTCCCAGATTGCCAAGTATTTATTTACATTTTCTAAGCTCACACTAACACTGCTTGTCTTAACTGACCATGGATATAGTCAATCCAGTGACCCTCATAGATATAACTATTTACGTATATTCCATAAAGTCAAGTATACAAATTAGAAATATATCGGACTGGTCATATGAAGATGAAGACGTGTTCATTTTCAAGATGACAAGTGGTCAGGTAAGAAATTGAAACTATATCTTTTCAAAAAAATTTGCCCAAGAACTCCGCGTTACAATTAAGACACGCCGACCTGGCTAGCGATTCATCCTTAATGGAAAAAAAAAAAAAACAGAATCAAAACGACAAATTCCTAACCAATGTACCTCTGCTTACAGACCGTTCCAGTGTCTATATACAAATAAGGAACCTGAAGATTCCTTCCGCAACAAAGATGTTCAAAATGATCATTCGAAAGTGCGGTCGGCTAGAGAGCTTCTGTCAAAGACGTTTGCGTGACTTTTTAAGTTTGCGTGACAAACAAATGAAAAGCGATACCTGCAGGGCCAAAACCTTAACTTCTCACGGACCGTTCCTTTTCCTAAAACCAACAACCCTAAAGACTGAAAAGTTTCCCCACGACTCTTGAGTGCAAGTATAAACAAAGCAACCTTTTATAAAAGTTAATCCGAGTTATTCGAATTCATCCAAATTGCATAGCGTTTTTCGAAGTTTGCAGGAGCTATATCAGTATTTAGGAGCTATTTTAGCAACGTGCAAATCTATCTGCGACTTAGAGGAGTCTACAAAATACTACTTTGGCAAGAGAGAAAAATGCAATAAAAGGAACGTTAAAACTGTTAGGAACAACGGTAGCCTTGGATAGAGAAGATCGACCAAGATTGAAAACTTTGGCTAATTCCCTTAGGATGCAAAACCCAAGACAAAGCTTCAAAACGCGTAGATGTTCTTGCCTTCTCGGTCTTCAAGGCGAGGTCCAAAGGGCTAAATTTAAAGGAAATAATAAGACTCTCCGCTCCCAATAGAAAAAAAAAACATAAATATATGCAAAGATAACAGATAAAAGGTGAAGATAAAAATTAGCCGCCCAGCTTTCTTCTTTAGTGCCTTCGCGTCGACCAGTCGTTGTCAGTTAAAGACAACAATTCACTGACAACGTTCGCTACATTGTTGTTATGTTTCTCCAGCAGCTGTTCGTTGAGCCTGCGATTGCAAAAGCCCATCTCCATTAGACATTCATGGCAGGTAGAAGTGGATCGACCAGGAGGCCAGGTTACTTCGTTTACTACAGGAGCCTCCTGTGAGGGGAAGGAGTAGAAATCATGTAAGTCAAAACAGGTAATTTACCACGACAATCAGGTGAAGATTCCATGCATTAGAAGAAGAAAATTCATAGCTTATTATAGCCGTAATAAAAGCAGGAAAGCTTGGGTGTCGAGGAAAATAGCATTCGTATCGGGTTGACTTTTGTGGCTATGAAACATTGTGCATTTTAAGCGCATTAGATCATGTACCATGTATTTTACGCTATACAAATAATAAAGTTATAAAGTTATATTGTACAATTCACAGTGGTGAACGGGCTTTGCAACTGCGTGCGGCTTAGGCGCTGTAGCCTGGGCACCACTGTTCATCCAAAACGAAAATTCTCGCTCGCAAGAGCAAAAAGAAACGTAACTGGTGACGAATGAAACGTAAATCCGCGCAAGCATATCATGCGTTTTTTAGTTCAGTCCATACCTTCCGATTCGGTTTCGAAATTCAAATTATATAGTTTAAAGTTAAAGCAACCAGAGGTTCGACACCTTCAATGCGCTAACCCATATTTCAATTAAAATTCTAAGCGTAAGGAAAATTGAGAGCTGGTTGGCTTACATTAGAAGATGGTTCCGCTTCTGATGGCCGATTAACGGACACTTCACATCCTTGCGCGGGATTGTATGTTGCAGTCGCCTCAGGTTTTGGCACACCAGAAAGGAAATTCTCCACAGTAGAGTAAACAGCCCTTCCTGCGCTGGCTGCGGCATCTATCGCCGTGGACAATACATCGGACACCACACTGGAAGCAAAATCACTACTAGCACTGTTCTGACGGACTCGCTTCACAATCATGACTTCACTAACGGGAACAGTAGTAGGGACCATCACGACAGGAGAGGATGGTTCTGGCTGCAAGGCAACAGGAGCAGGTTCATCACTGCTGGAGACAGGCTGTGCTGCTATTGGCTGCGAGGTGACATCTGGTACTGCAGGAGCCCCCGTCCTCTCATCATCATTATCACCGTTGTCATCTTCATTAACATCACTTTCGTCCTCATCGCGTGCCGCTGGTTCAGGAGCAGGGACGTTTACAGGCTCAGTTATGATGGGCGTTTCGGGTAGAGTGGGTTCGCAGCTCAAGTCTCTTGGAGGTTCCTCCGGTGCTATAGGACCCTCCAACCGTGGTTCTGACACAGGTGGATCAGGAAGTTGTGGGATTGAGTCATTTAACGGTTCAAACACTTTGTCATCCTCATCGACAGTGGTCCTGGAAATTGTCTCCATACTAGTGTCGTCACTGCTCACACTCCTTTGATCGATGAAAAAAGTAGTACCAGGAACTCTATCGAGCTCGGTTTTAAGAGGGGGCTGATCGCTGAGGGTAAATGAAAATGCTCTTTGTTGACTCTCGGTCATTTGCTTATATTCTGTGACACTAACAGTTACCGGGGAGGGATCTGCAGTCAGGGGGGCGTTTGGGTCAAAGCAAGGAGGGACGGGTACCACCATGAACTCGTCGGACATATCAGTGGCGACGCTTTCGACGTCACTTGTTGCATCTGTGGACACAAAATTAAAACGTTTTAAGAGAAAACAATGTGACATCTCAACGGTCGATAATCTTTGTTCGCGACACACGAGAAAGATGCTGAACGAAGCCTTACAACAGTAGTTTACTGACGCTTTTTTTTATATATATTTTTCTCGGTTTATCGTTCACATTTTGACCAGTTAGGTCCTTCGTTGAGCCTATTGTTGGGCTTATTATCCATGTGTTCGTGCGTTCGCTTCTATGCTTAAACTCTTTGTTTTCTTTTTCCCATTTCTACACAAACAGTTTGAAAAAAAATTTAGCCAGAGAAGATTTATGTTGGAAAATAAAGCACTCTTCACAAGCCCCTTTCTCTTCTCTTTTATCATCGCCCATCGCCCAGAACGTGAATGAGATGAGAGAATGTCTCGATTGAGAGCACAAGGGAGTGGAGGTGGGAGTACTTCCTTCCCAGCGCACATAAAAAAAAAAAATGTGTGTGAACAACCTATGCCCTTAAAACCATCACAAGAGTTCACACCTTCCACAGCACAAGCCACGAGCTCCTCTATCTCAGCTCTGTCAAAGGACTCTGCTTCCAAGCCACACCCAGCTGCATCCCACTCCAGCTCGGAGAACTGAGCAGTTTGGCAGGACACGGTCACAGATTCTAACGGCAGCCTAATCTTCTCGAATTCTGCTGTGTCCTCGGTAGAACTAAGGTATACGTCTGATCCCGATGCTTCGTCCGGTTCCTCGGCCATTGGTTCCTGAAGAACTAAGTCCTCCACAAGCTTCCTGACAGGGGAGGTGTCGCGTTCAGGGAATGCACTGTTAATCAGGGTGGTGCTATCATAACTGGGGTACTTGGGGGCTTCTTGTTTGAGTGAAAAAAAAAACATGACATAAGACTTCTGACAATTAATATTCATAAAATATATTTCCTGCAGCTGTTGTCGTGGATAAAAAAAACCGTTTTGAGAATCAGCAGCCGCAGACTTCTTTAAGGTCAAACTAGGCACGTTCACTCAAGAAAGTTAAAGATAATTGTCACAATTTGGAAAACTCACACGACAGCTTAAATTTGAATTCATACAGTTACTACATTCTAAATTAACGAATGACTAAATCATACAGAACTGACTTACTAACTGACTAACAAATAAAATTAACTAAATATTTAATAAGTGTTTTTACACACACTGTTTGAAGCGGACGAATAATACCTGTCTCTGTTGGGCTGTCCTGATTAAGCAGCATCTCATTTTCAACTTTCTCCTCTTCAACAACAATCTGACACCAGAAGAGAGGGCCAAATGGGATACTGTGATGACACAGCTGCCATTTACTACAACAAAAATATATCAATAATTATTTCTTGACACTGGAGGAGTACAGTGAATGGGCATTCAAGACATCGTTATTTTCAGGTAGACATAACTTCTTTAAGGAGCTATGTAACTTAACGTTTATCACTTTAGAAAGAAAAATTCAATGTGGAAAGTTGAAAAAATACAACGAAGAAGCAAAGTTATTTTCAATTCAAAATCGAAAGTTTTCCACAACTGCATTGGTTTCGTTCTTCTCTGCTCAGTGATTGGTCCAGAGAACTCGCGCAACTATTTAGACCAACCGGATGCCAAACTAGAAACAATTGCGACTTGTTCACATACGTTTTGAGAACACTTTTCGATTGAGAACGGTGCAACCAAAATCAAAGTAGCCACGACAGCCAATCAGTAGAGAGGAAGATATCCTAAAGAGCCAATGAGATCTCAAAGTAAAAACAACCAAGCCGCCAAAAGCGCGGGAAAACAAGGGCGACCAAGTCGTGATTGGTTTTAGCTTTGTATCTGATTGGTTGAGAGTGTGTCGCAAGTTTTCAGGACCAATCAAAGAGCGAATAGAACAAAACTAATGTAATTCCGGATTACCTTCAGCACTCAGTTGAAAATTGCTTTATAGCGCTTAAAAAAATTTGTGTGTTTTAACTTTGAGCTCTCACTAGTTTCTTGTGATAATTCCCTTTCTTCTGATTAACTATTTTAAGAGGACGTTTCCGAATTACCTCTGCCCTCTTTTTCAAAACGAGGCCTGGTACTGGTGAAAATAAATTAAATTTGCGTATGAATGAAAACATATATTCAGATGAAAAGATGAGCACCAGGACTCGCTGAAATGCGCTCTAACAAAACGAAGAGGAGTGAGAATAGCTCGAGATGCTAAAAATCAAAACGGACTTTCAACGACAGAGCTGACGTTTCGAGCGTTAGCGAGTGACGAAGGGCTAACACTCGAAACGTCAGCTTTGAAACTCTCTACGGTGTCCAGTTTACGCTATCAACTCAGTTGATAACACTTAAGTACCCTGTTATACTCTCCCACCGACGCAGCACCACAGTTTCTTCAGAAACTTACCCCCTTTTATCAACGACAAACTCCGACAACTGAGGCTGAAGTTTTCAACATACACAAACTGAGACCCTAGCTTTTTATAAAATGCGTTTTGCCCCCTCACTGCTCCATAACTGTTGTCTTTCTTACTGACTGTAAAATGTACAGACTGATATATGTATGACAAAATTTCTGTATG